CAAGAAGAAACTAGGAGCAGACCATCCAGACACGCTGACCAGCATGGCTAATCTTGCTTGGACATGGAAAAGCTTAGAGAGAAGTGCTGAAGCTATAGGCTTGCTGCAGGAGTGCGTTAATCTTTGCAGTCAGACTCTTCGAGCAGGGCATCCTAATCTAGTATCTTCTCAGGAAACCTTAGCTGAATGGGAAGCAGAGCAAGCAGTTAGAACTCTTGCGATAAGTTGATAATTCTGCTTTATATTATACGCACTTATTACCTTCGTAAGGCTGCGCTTACTATGGAATATATCAGAGATGTATTTGACAACAGTCGAGGAAGTTGCAAGATTAGCACGAGTCATGTTAATACTAGCAAAGCTTAATACTGACGCAACGGTCATTTGCTTTGCAGACAAGGGATCTCCTTGCGTGACAAGGATCCGATAAAATCTTGGAACGTGCCAAAGGTGAGACCGATTTTGCAAGGTACTGTACCACCTCCCTCCGACGCCAGGAAGTCGATCATCAGCCTTATGGCGCGATCTCATGTAGCGCCGCCCCGGCGGAAGCGAACCACCGGTTCGGGCTCATGTGCAATGATACGTATGACTTACCTTAAACATCTGTGTGGTTTTTTACCGTAGCATCTGTGGCTGTGCAGATTGTGTCAGTTTTCGGATGATTAGGCGTGGCCCCGGTGCGTGTGTGATTTACATTACTTAGGCAGCATACGCTAAGCCTTGTAGGTCGAATGTCAAATCGCCTGCCAAGAGCTGTTCAGGGCCTCTCCAGTCGGATAAATCCGGACTACATTCCTGTAATATAGGTTAGCTTTTAATTGCACTGAGGGCTTTGATAGATAGTGGAAGGGTGTTTTAGCTGCACCGATAGGCATGAATGATAGACGCAAACATTGTTATATGGCTTTGGAACAGGCGAAGTTGTACAGGTATGTGACGAAAAGATCGACAGCATGGTGATAATTTATGTAATTTTCTATATTTCTACTGGCTGTAGAAGTAGACATACTTGATCGACACCTTGAAACTTAAATCACCCTAATTCCACTAGATTTGAGGATCCAGTCTGACTATTTGTAGAATCCTTTTCGGCATGGCGGGTTTTTCGTTACGCAGGGACAGACGTTAGACTGATTATTTGTCGAATCCTTTTCGGCATGGCGGGTTTTTCGTTACGCAGGGACGGACGTTAGGCCCTTTTATTCTGTCTGTTACCATTACTAGGAAACAAATATTACCTGCTTGATTGCGGGCTATAGAGACACGTGTTGTTTCTGGAAGCTGCGTGAGAATGCACCCAAAGTCGTTTTTTTTGAGCGCAGGAAACTCGTGAATCAGGTAGTTAGAAACACAGAATTTGAACAAGTAGTACACAGTGTCCTGCGACATGTTTTTGAGGTCGCAGAATTTAGGGGGATTGGGTTGTTTTCTTTTAAAACTTTCTTGGGATGTGGACGGCAAGATTTATGATTTCAAGATAATAAATATAGGGGCCAAAGTGCTCACCGGAAGGTCAACGTGTTCCAATTGCGATCGTTCCCCGCTCCGAAAGCGAGTTCACCGCTTTTGTGGGGTCACGTCCTTCGAGCTTGGCACTGGTATCCTACACAGCCACCGATCATGTCCCTGGGCGTGTGGCGGACTCTTGCTGACGGCGTGCTGTTCTGAGGGCGACCAGCTGCATAGGGTGTGGGCCAATGCTTATAGTAGAGATGGAGTCACAAGCTATGCTTGCTCAATCCCTGTCCTTAGCAAGATCGGCGATGATCTTCGTCCATCAAGTAGAGGTGTTTCGGCTTCTTGATTCAATGATCTTTCCAACGAAAAGGGTATGTAACTATCAGAGTAGGTTTGTAGACGTGACAGAACTGGTTCAGGAGACTAACCCCTGCCAAAGTTGCTTCGCTTAGGCTCCCCAATGACTTGTAGTGTTCAAGCAACTTCCATCTCCCAACCTTGATTACCGTAATGCTAACTACACTATCCTGAACACAACTCGAGCAGCCCCTGGTAGGAGATATTTATTCTACGAAGTCAAAGACATTCTTGTCCAGACGACTAATACAGAGAGAAACTGCGCTTAGTAAAGTACTTATTTGTCAAGTCTTCCAATTTGCGTTTTGGTACTTATACATCACAGATCAACTCATGTACCTCAAAGACCGGCATTTTCCGAAGAAACATTTGAAATGAGAGAATGCGCTATCTGTGGGAAGAAGTTCAAAAGAAACTTTAACCTGCATCGTCACCAGACATCTCGTAATGGAGAGCATAGGCCGTATAAGTGCACAATGTGTGACGCTTCTTTTAAGCGCAATAACAACCTTCACAGGTAATATTTGCGCAGACGCGTATTGTTGTACCAACAACTAATTATCATGACCAACCAGACACCGCATTGATAATTGCCGAAACAGGAGCAAGCAGGCTATCCGCAGAACTCGTGAGGAAAAGGACGCCCCTTATAATACAGGCATGCAGGCCATGCCCAAAGATGGAGAACTAAAGTCCCCAACAATGGACGAAGAATACCATACTTCCATGAATCGGGACGACCACGCGGGGCAGGGCAAGCAACCTCCAGGAACGGGTGCTTTGAATGAGGAACACCAGCATGACGAACAGCACCAGCGGACCAAACAGACGGCAAACAGTGTAATTCAAGAGATATTCAAGAGGCGGGACCCAGAAGTGGATGAAGAATACCGTACTCTCAGGAATCAACGCTTAGAGGACCTTGAAAGGAGGTGGAACTTGCAGCAGAATGATAGGGCACAAGAAATGTTCGACCTAGAGTATCCAGCAGCGGATGAAGAGTACCGTACTCTCAGGAATCAACACTG